TCTCTCTCTCTCTCTCTCTCTCTCTCTCTCTCTCTCTCTCTCTCTCTCTCTCTCTCTCTCTACGTTACCTGAAGGTCCTGCTTGTGGGAAGACTGGAAGTAACTGTTCGAGGCATGTACTTTTTTTTTTTTTTGGGGGGGGGGGGCGTTCTCAGAAGTTGATACCCTATACCCATAGTAGAACACATGTGCCTTGATTACGAATACAACGCACTCCATGTGTTCTATTCGTAAATAACGCATGTGCGTTTTGTTCGGGGGAAGACTGTAGGCATAGAGGATAGGCTGAGTGCTGTTGTGTGGGGCGACTGGAGGTCGGGATAGGAGGAAAGGGAGTACTTACCTGATGGCACACTCGATTGGAGCTGGACTGTAATGTGTTACCTGCAGGACATCATCAGCTCAAGGACGCCACCTTTGAGTCTCTCACTGTGCCTTTCTTCACAGCCTTCCTATAGGATTGACCTGAGCTTTCCGGCATGTCCTGGCTGATTCCAACATGTAGCATTAATCCTGCCCCATTGAAAACAAGCTAATAAGCATCACAGGCTTTCGCGATTTACGGTCGATGATCTAGTCTGCGTGAAGTCTAACAAATTTGCACGTGAAGTAGCAGTGTACAATGGACCATGGAGAGTTCTAGATATCATAGGAGACACTGGCGGTCCCTTCTATACAATGGATGTCCCTCCTCAACATCGCACTTATGTAGTCTTCCATGCCTTAAAGCTGTTGCCTGTGAACTCCATAAAGTCCTGCCCTTCATGCAGGTCAATGATCCCACCTGACATGGATGGCGTCTACGACATTGACCGAACAGCGTATGGAGTGAGAAGGAGAGAGCGAGGGGAGAGGGAAAGGAAGACATACCTGCTTAGGTGGAGTGAGAAGGAGAGAGCGAGGGGAGAGGGAAAGGAAGACATACCTGCTTAGGTGTTGGTGACAGCGGCCCTAGTTGCTGGAGCTCAAGAGTCCTGTTTTATATAATTTCAAGTTCTCAAATAATTTTCAAGTGTGTTCATATCGTGTGAATCTTGCCAATTGGGTGTGAGGACTTGCATGTTTATGTGATTCGGGGATGAATTCAGTAGAATTCGTCTACCATGGCTGGGGTCTGCCTTTGAAATTTGAGGTTCAATTTCTTCTGGAAGGTTCTTAGAGATGAAAACAGGGTTTGGCTTTGTCAGGTGATCACAAGGGATACAGCTGCCTAGTTGGCAGCAAGAAAAAAACATTTCTTTTGCAGTGAGGGTGTCAGAATTGACTAGCAAAAGCTAGATGGCCCGACTTGCCTGTTTGGCCAGTAGCCTAGTGGGAAAAGGGAGCACTGATATGAATATCAGAAAGGAGCTGTAACAATATGCTGTTGTGATATGGAGGATGCAGGGAAATAGTATCTCAGGAGCCTTACTCATTGGCAGCTGATGTTTGGGCACTTGGCATAACATTGTTCACCTTCATTACTGGTACTCCACCATTTCAGGTCTGAACTGTTTCTTCTTTCCTCCCTCCCTGCTTTCCATCTCTCACTCCCTCTGCTCCTCCCTCCCTTCCTCGTGCCCTCTTTTCCTCCCTCCCTGCCTCCCAGCTTCTTGCATTTCTTTTGTTTCTTCCTCCCTTCCTCCCTTGCTTTACCCCTGTGTCCCTCCTCACTTACTCCTTTGCCTCTCTTGCTCCCTTGAAACTCTGCTGAGAGAACAAAATGTTCATGGCGAATTCGCCGATTTGTCACAAAAACCTAAAGCTTCCAGGCGGTGAATCACTTTCCGGATATCAACTAGTAAAGTGATGTGACCTATCTCCTTATTCCATCTCTCGCTCTGTTTCCCCATACCTCCATGCCTCTTTCTCTTCGTCCCTTCTTCATCACATCTGTGACTCTGTCCCTTCATCCATCCCTCTGTCCCTTCCCCCCCCGCTCGGTCTCTTCCTGCATCCGTCCGTGCCTCCTTCCCATGTGGAAAATTGTAGATGTTGTCCTGGCAAAATTGCATTATAATCCTAATGTCGGTTGAGTTTGACCAGAATTCAAGCATTTCTGGATCTGTAAAATGTGATGCCCAGCCAGCAATCCAGTAGCAATGTAGCAAATGATCATGATGAAGCTGAAGAAGCTAATGGAAGCTTCTTCGTCCCTTCTTCGTTACATCTGTGACTCTGTCCCTTCATCCATCCCTCTGTCCCTTCCCACCCCACTCGGTCTCTTCCTGCATCCGTCCGTGCCTCCTTCCCATGTGGAAAGTTGTAGATGTTCTCCAGGCAAAGTTGCATTATAATCCTAATGTCGGTTGAGTTTGACCAAGATTCAAGCATTTCTGGATCTGTAAAATGTGAGGCCCAGCCAGGAATCCAGTATCAATGTAGCAAATGATCATGATGAAGCTGAAGAAGCTAATGGAAGCTTCAAAGTTCAAACTTGACAATTTTTTTTACATGAACTGTTTGTGGTGTGCATAATTGCAGAGCAATGCCGTTGCCCAGACGTTACAACGGGTTCGCAATGCTGACCTTCAGCTTCCCCAACACATGCCACGAGATGCTGCCGATCTCATCTCACTATTGCTTCAAAAAGTAAGTCTTTGTCGTAGAATGCCTGTGACACTATGGTTGGGCACTATGTTATTTTGGACACAATTGGAAGTGTGGCAATTTTTCTGAAACAAAAGGAACATTCCATCTTTGTCTTTTCCCTTGTCACTGTTGTCAGAATGTTTATAAATTGTGCATGTCATCTTTGCGAAGCGCCTTGGCAATTTTTCCTGTATGATTCTGGTTTTGATTGATGTCCAAAAGGGTGAACGAAAAGGGGTTGAACCACCAGTATGGGGACCCTTCAAAGCTTGCAACCGTATACGCGGAGGCTGGGCTTTTGATGTACCAGCCTGCCTGTGCCCTGTTAGATGCATACTCAATGGGAAAATTTTCCTCACGAGAAAATCAGCCGTCCTGGTACTGGTGGCTTAAAGACTGAAGAGTCTGTTGCACTGAAAGAGAATCACTGAGGTTGATTACTTGTGTTCTGAGTCCTATGTCGGATGTTGTGGGAAAGTAATCAGAGTGTTATCATGTGAGTCGGCTGGAATGCCTCTCTGGTCTTCTTTTCAAAATCAAAACTTGCCTGTCAACAGGTGGATTAGAGTGCATGCTTGGCTTTGAATGTGGCTCACCTCTTGTGGACTGCAGTGTATCCTCATCTATTAAACCATTGGTACCTCCGAGCCTTTTTTAGCTGATGTGGATTCCCTCTGTGCGCCGAAAGAAAAGAACATCCATGGAGGTGTTTTCTGTTTTGCTTGCCTGGGGCTGTGAGCCATTTTGGTCGGGTAGCACTCTTCATCCGAAGAACCTGTAATGTTGCATTTTTTATTCTGAAGTTTCGCTAAGAATTGCGTATCTACATGACTATAAAATAATTATATAACCGCTCATACCGCAAGTGATAGAGTTGAGACTTTATTTTAAGATTTATTTAAAGGAAGTGGGCTGCATGGTTGGGCAAGGTACGTGTGGTTTATATTTGAATGTGGTTCAGGTGTCAGTCTTGTGCAAGGAATATGAGCGAGAGCGATAGACAGAAACCAAGTTGCAAAATCACTAAGTTGTCCAGATAGTGATGTACCAAGCAGAGAGCACAAATGCACCAAGATACCACCCAAATAAGAGCAATACAATGAACTCGTGTGCCAATGTCAACGCTCTCTGGCCACACCAACACAGTATCCAATGTCGCTCCTATAGTCTGGCGCCCAGCCTACACTACTCAGCCTATCTATCCTATCTACATTCAAGCAACAGGATCACTTCGATGTCGAAGACCAATGTACATGATGTCAATACCAATGCAGACAGCCAAGATACACCGGGTACGTTCTCTCTCCTGCCCTCATCATTCCCTGTCTCCCCTGCATGCGCCTCCTACCCGAAGACCACCATCACCATCACCTGCCTGCGCCCCAGCAGCCCGTCTATGGCCGCCGTGCGCCCACTGCCTCAGCAGCACCCTTCTCACCTCAGCGCCCGTTGTCGGAGGGCGCGGTGTCCCAGCCGTCCTCTGTGTACCAAGTCCCTGCTTGGTACCAGCCTCCTGCTCCGACGTCACGGCCTGTAGGCGTGTCCCCGAACTTCTACGACCCCTAGTACCCGGGCTGTGTCCGACCAGGACTGGTCCTGTTGGTGCCTGCCTCAGCAAAAGGAGGGTGCGCCACAGGACTTTCCTTTGGTCCACGCAGGCTTGGCGCCCTGCTGTACAGCAGAGCACTACCGGCCTGCAGCCGTGGTAGCCGCCGGGCTCGCCCTGGGACGCGGAGGTAGAGGGTCCGGCGTGGGCTTTTCTACTGCACGCCGAGTACCTCTCCACCAGGTTATGGGTTAGGTGCACGGGGAAGAGGTCATTGTCAAAGGGAGGGAAGGGAAAAAGGAAAAATAAAACGTCAAATTTGAACCATAGCTACGCCGGACCGGACACCGGACCGAATTTGGACCCCGGACCCCGGAGCTCCCGGGCCCTTCCGGAGTTCCGGGAAACCGGAATATTCCGGAATATCCGGACCGACCCGGACCCCCTGTCCGGATTCCGGTCCGGATCCCCTATAGTGTCCGGAAAAACAACTACACCAAAAAAAAAAGGCTGTACTCCTACTCCTCCCCCTCCTCCTCCTCGTCGTAGCTATGGTGCAAGGGGTGTGTGTGTGTACAGGGCCTAGCCACGCCATGCGCAAATTAGTGATGTGGCACATATGCACTTCCTTTTTTTTTTATTTTTTAAAGGGGTGTGTGTGTATATGGGGGGGAGAGAGAGAGAGAGAGAGAGAGAGAGAGAGCAACCTCAGCAACGGGTCCCCTTAACACGGATCAGACGGCCCATGCAGGCCATCTGAAGGGTCCTCGCAGCCATGTAGTGCGAAACCCCCACAAAATCGAGGCAGGCAGCGCATATGAAGTAGAGCACGAGCTGGCCGAATATATAGTCAAGATTCGAGTTCAGGTCTGTGTTTCAGCAGTTATGGGTTGCTCGCGTAGCTAGGCCCTGTTGATCTCTGGCATTCTCTGCAGGTGATTCTAAGGGCTTGGCTGCACTACTCACGAAATGTGCAAAATTAGAATGAATCTTCTGCAGAACGTGGAATAATACGTGTTTTGTCTTTTGTGCATTTGGTGAGTAGAGGCCCTTAGGGCCACTGCATGTATTCCTAAGAAAAGAAAAACGAGAAAAGAAAACAAAAACGAGAAAAGAAAACAAAAAGGAGAAAAGAAAAGGAAAACGTGAGAAGAAAAGAGAAACGAGAAAACAGAGAAATAGTGACCCATAATGCACAGACCTGAATTCGAATCCAGACTATATATTCTCTGGCCACGCTCACGAAGTACAAGTTTGAATTGTACCTCTGCATGACGTAGGATCCTGACTAGTATGCTGTAGGGATCCTACTGAAAAGAGGCTGGACCCAACTAGGACAGTTTTGGGGTATGGTGTGGCCCCGACTTTTCTCCCTCTTCCTTTCTGATTTTCAGAAGCGAGGGGAATGTTTGGCCACCCCACACTGTCCTTTCAACTTTTTCATTTTTTTTTTTTTAGTGCGCCGCTGCAAGTATGAAAAAAAAACAAAAAAAACAAAGAAACCAAACCCCCTCGTTTTCTGGGCCGTCTGGATCGTCGGTGAGGGTGGTAAAAAATAAGGCACAATTTTTTTTTTGGGCGGCCCAGGGCGTGAACAATCGCCCCCGACCACCTAAAAAAAAATTGGCCATTGGGCTAGGGCCCTCACATCCGGACCAAGATCCAGACCCGGACCCCGGACCCCGGACCCCGGACCACGGACGGTCCGGATCCCTGTCCGGTGGTCCGGATCGTAGCCATGATTTGAACCGGCGTTTTAGTTCGGAAAAAATCCGGTGGCTTCAGGCCACTGTGATGTTACGATTTCTTTACCTTTTCTGATTTTGCTACTACTACTATTATTATTATTACTACTACTATTAGTATTATGATTTTAGAGTCTCCTACAGGCTTCTCCAGCCAGTCGTTTTGCAGGGCCGGCGGTTCAAATTTGAACTGAGGTCGCCACTGGATGGCCTAGACTGGCCCGACTTTTCGTTTTCGCCTCACGGCTGAATCGCTTGGCACAGTGTCGCGCAGGAGGGGTCCAAAAGAGGGGCAGCCCGCGGCCGCTTTGGTAGGAGGCTTATCACCCCTTGTGGAAGGTCATAAGCCCCCTCCTTACCATCGGACGCGGGTACCCGCCAGGGATAGATCAGTAGCTCGTTTTTGAGTGGAGGGTCGGTATCCCATTATGGGACTACTGCGTCAGGCCCGGATCACTTCACCTCCAAGGCGACCGTTGGGGCTCCGGCTCCGCTGTCCTCCTTGGCTCTACTTGCCTCACGGAATTTTTGGAAAGTAAATGTTTCTCCTTCATTTGTTTTTTATTTTTCTTTTCTTATTTTATTAGTTTATGAATTACAAAATTACTAAAATACGGAACGGTCAGAGTTGTCTGACCCCCTCGTTTAGAGCGTCGGGATCACGGTGAGCGGCGATCCTATAAAAGAGAGAGGGGGCGAACCTCTGGATATCCAGGCATGAGCAGTCTTGCCGCGCTGGTGGGGGACACCCTAAAGGGGGAACTGTGCTATGGCATGGGTGTGAGGGAGTCCTGCTTGCGCGTGTGTGCGTTGAGGCCTGACTATTCCGGAAGCGGGTAGCCTAGTGTTAGTTG